GACACCAGTCTTTCCGTTTGACCACTTCTGTCAGCTGTTCGTTGATGGTCCACGTCGTGTCTTGTTTGTTTCAGTTCACCTTCTATAAAACCGTTTTTTTATGTGTTTATTTTTCTGAGTTAAACAGACTTTCCCTCGCCGGAGGCGGGATAGACACAAATCGGAGCGAGTGAACCTCCGCCTCATGGTGCTGGTTGAAGCGTCTATGAAAATGGACAGGGATCGCCTATCTCATGGAATGTTAACCGAAAGTATGAAATGTGTTTTAGAAATGTGGCCGGATTTCAACAAATTACTCAAGTAGGGTTGTAATATGGATTATCCTGCAGCCGAATCTCAAGATAGTTCGGTCTCGTCAGGGCACTGGATTTTTAACGAGCTTTTTCTCTTGCCGCCTAAAAAAATCTTATTCTGGAAAAAATCTTACTTAAGTAGTTTGACTTCCTCTCATTGATTTTCACATGTTAAAACATATTTTTTAGGAAAACATGCATAAAAGTATTCTTTCTTATACTCGTATGGTAGCAAATTATGTATTTTTTAAATTATATTCCTGTGGTTTTAAAATGGTTTCCAATTATGAGACCGTGAAATGTTTACTCTTTATGCGCTTCTCCCGTCAATTTATTTAAATTACCTCTCATATATGCAACATGGTCCATTGCAAAAGTTTATGAGCACTATGTGGCCTTTACCTTTTACCGTAGAGAACTTTCTGCTTTATTTTGGACGAAATGTGGACACCATCAATACAAGTGTAATGGCTGGTAGGGTTCAAAGTTATTCGTCAATATAGAATTTTTTAAAGCCGAAAGACAAATTTTCTTATGTTTAAAATTTAAAGAAGACGTATTCGCCACCAAAGCGGTACAACAAAGAATATTTGTATGCATATTTTCTTAACAACGTATTTGAAATTATAAGCGCATCGAAAATCCATGAGAAAAATGTACACAACTGAAGTCTTCTTTTTACAGACTATACTGTTTGCTGGCAGACCTCAAAAAGAAACCCGTTCAAAAACCGGCATTCTGATGAGACAGATGTATCTTGAGATTAAGCTGTGCAATAATCAATATTGCAACCCTGCTTAAGTAATTTGTTGGAATCTAAAGCACTTTTTATGATTTCGGGTGACGTTAAATGGGACAAGTAGTCTAGTATGCGAAGGGGAGAGACGAAGTAAACATCACTGAGGAGTTCACACCTTCTACCGAGCGTTAATTCCCATAGAAAATTGCGGATTAACGGTATTCAGTCTCGTCTTCTTGGTACGAGCAGGTAACTGGACTTACTCGTCCCGTTGTGTTTGGGGTTCAGTGTTAAGACCCTTGTTGACTGCGATGTACTGGCGTATTTAGTCCTAATTATGTTAAGCATAAGCTTGCACCACTTAACGTCTTTGATTGGCTTATGCAAGAAACCGATCGATAACAGCAATTACTAATTATGAGCTGAACCCCTCGTTGATGAGTCATACGACAGCAGAATATGGACGAGAAACATGTATGACCTTTTACCTAGTATCTGAACTGTTAGTATGGTAACCCATACTATATATGCATATCACTGGTTGTATGTTAGCAGTTTATGAATAGTACGTAGTTATTCTGTTATAGCTGGTGGATTTCGGTTTAACTATTCATATCGAATTTTCAGTTGAGCCTATAAAATTTCATCCCGACCAGGTTACTCCACGTTAATGAGTAATTTTGGCGGAAATTGGAAGGATGTGTTTGAGAAGTCTTACTAAGAGAGTTAAAAATATTGGCAACTTCCAGAGTATTATGCGACCTCATTGCTGAATGACCAACTGATGCGGGTTCGAACCTTTGCGCAGCTAGAGGTTCTCATATCACCGAACTGGCCAGAACCGATTATTCTTAAGGCCCCTGTCTCTACTGGCAATACTTTTTCTCTATTGTTGATCGCTAGTTGCCGTGCGGCCGCCTGCGAGGGGACGACAAGACTCACCCAGGACAGTGCAGAAATGTTCACTTCCGTGCTGTAACCAGTAGACGCCACCCTAATATGACATTAAAGCTTGTAGATGTGCAGATGCAGATATTTCTTTTTCTTATTCATCCTGCGTACAGAGAATGAAGGAGGATAAACGTTTAGGTTACAAGATGCGTTGGGTAGTGTCTTTTCCTTTGACCTAATTTTAAAAAACTCGGCAGCCTTAGTGGCGATTGAACCCACGACCTCAAATTCAGGGCTCAACCATCTCAGCGGCGAGACGCCAGCATCGGTCATTCAAATGACCCCCCTGCAGCACTTTGATTATTGACTGCTAGTTGCCGTGCTATTGCCTGCAAGGGGCTGCAGCACTCAGATTCATGACAGTGCTTCCGGTTAGGGCCTCATGGCTCAGTTGACTGTATGCAAAGCTTTGCGGATACCAGTTAAGTTGGTCGTCCACCTTAGATACCCACAGCCTCCAGTTTTATTAATTTGGTTTAGATTTCGGTTCACTATTTAGTTTAATAGTTTTATTTTGGGTTTGTATTAATTTAGTCAGATACTTCCAACGTCAGACAAATGTACTTTAATATCCACTTTATGCTAAACAAACTAAACTAACCTAAACTAAAACTAAAATCAAACTAAATAATAAGCTGAAAATTAAACACTACCACCGGTCCCGTGAGACAGAATTCTGGGGCTGGGGGTATCTACAGTGGGCGAACAAGTTAATTGTTACCGTTTTGCACTGGCTTTCGTGGGTTTTAACCCCACTGAGGCCACTCAGCTTTGCACAATTGGGTCGGAGCCGCCGTGACAATCCACTAAAAGCGTCCATTTAGTGGCTCATTTTCACTTCTGAAGAGGTGTTGCTGATTCAAAAAGTAGCACAAGTGTCTGTCTCTATTACATTCATAGTGGGGTGCTCACCAATCGTTTGACGGTGCACCCTCGTACTGTTTTGCCTTGAGACTCACTCTCAAGTGAATCAGTGGCCGCATAGAAATTATCCTCGGAGGCAGAATGACATACCCGACAGACACAAGGGAGACCGGAATGGT